ACATGGCAGAGTGTGGCGATGGAGACAGCAGCAATGGGAGGCCGTACAGGGACCCATGACAGACTCTGGACCTGGCAGCAGCATGAGGAGGCGGTATATAGGGGCCTATGGCAGATTAGGGGCCTGGCAGCAGCTATGGGAGGCCCTTAATCTGCCAGCACCCTATGTCAAAAAAATTCTACACACCAGCAGTGTGAGGAGACCTGAAAGTGGCACATGGCATGAGAGACTCTGGACCTGGCAGCAGCATGAGGAAGCGGTATATAGGGGCCTATGGCAGATTAGGGGCCTGGCAGCAGCAATGGGAGGCCCATAATCTGCCAGCACCCTATGTCAAAAAATTCTACACACCAGCAGTGTGTGAGGAGACCTGAAAGTGGCACATGGCAGAGTGTGGCGATGGAGACAGCAGCAATGGGAGGCCGTACAGGGACCCATGACAGACTCTGGACCTGGCAGCAGCATGAGGAGGCGGTATATAGGGGCCTATGGCAGATTAGGGGCCTGGCAGCAGCTATGGGAGGCCCTTAATCTGCCAGCACCCTATGTCAAAAAAATTCTACACACCAGCAGTGTGAGGAGACCTGAAAGTGGCACATGGCATGAGAGACTCTGGACCTGGCAGCAGCATGAGGAAGCGGTATATAGGGGCCTATGGCAGATTAGGGGCCTGGCAGCAGCAATGGAGGCCCATAATCTGCCAGCACCCTATGTCAAAAAATTCTACACACCAGCAGTGTGTGAGGAGACCTGAAAGTGGCACATGGCAGAGTGTGGCGATGGAGACAGCAGCAATGGGAGGCCGTACAGGGACCCATGACAGACTCTGGACCTGGCAGCAGCATGAGGAGGCGGTATATAGGGGCCTATGGCAGATTAGGGGCCTGGCAGCAGCTATGGGAGGCCCATAATCTGCCAGCACCCTATGTCAAAAAATTCAACACACCAGCAGTGTGAGGAGACCTGAAAGTGGCACATGGCAGAGTGTGGCGATGGAGACAGCAGCAATGGGAGGCCGTACAGGGACCCATGACAGACTCTGGACCTGGCAGCAGCATGAGGAGGCGGTATATAGGGGCCTATGGCAGATTAGGGGCCTGGCAGCAGCTATGGGAGGCCCTTAATCTGCCAGCACCCTATGTCAAAAAAATTCTACACACCAGCAGTGTGTGAGGAGACCTGAAAGTGGCACATGGCATGAGAGACTCTGGACCTGGCAGCAGCATGAGGAAGTGGTATATAGGGGCCTATGGCAGATAGGGGCCTGGCAGCAGCAATGGGAGGCCCATAATCTGCCAGCACCCTATGTCAAAAAATTCAACACACCAGCAGTGTGAGGAGACCTGAAAGTGGCACATGGCAGAGTGTGGCGATGGAGACAGCAGCAATGGGAGGCCGTACAGGGACCCATGACAGACTCTGGACCTGGCAGCAGCATGAGGAGGCGGTATATAGGGGCCCATGGCAGATTAGGGGCCTGGCAGCAGCTATGGGAGGCCCGTAATCTGCCAGCACCCTATGTCAAAAAATTCTACACACCAGCAGTGTGTGAGGAGACCTGAAAGTGGCACATGGCAGAGTGTGGCGATGGAGACAGCAGCAATGGGAGGTCTCCCATTGTCCCAACATGGCCCAAATAGTCCCAACATGGGCCCCCTGGCCACGCTTGACTTTCTGGCCACATAGTCGACATACGGCTACGTTTACTTCCTCCGGGCGGCTTGACGAAAAATTGCCACACCGCCGAGTAGGAAACTTTGCCCCCGATACTCCTCACTGGCTGACTGCTGCTTCCTCCGTGCACACCGGCACCACTACTGGCCGTGGTGGTAGGCTGCAGTGGAGCTGGTGCTCTACTCCGTGGCCGTTTGGCTCCACTGACACTGCTGCGACCCTGCTGCTGTCTCCTGGGCAACCCACCGACTGTTTTGCTCGCTGCCAAGCTGCCACCCTCTTCTCCTGATGATGCGGAAGAAATTGCCTGATGACGACGAGGCTGCCAAGTGCGATCAACCTCCTCATCATCAAGTAGGGTCTCCGCCTCACTACTAGCCCCCTCGGCTGCGTCTGGGTCAGGAGACAGACCTGTCTCTAGACCGGCTACCGAGCCACTCTCCTCGCCACTACTTCTTCGCCTGGCTGCTGAAAAGGCGGATGTCTCCCCCGTTCCTGACCGCCCTCTGTTAGCTCTTCCTCACTGTACAGTGGGGCTGAGCCCACAGCATGCGATACTTCGCTTGGTGAGGGAACACCAAAGGACAGGGGCAGGTAGAGGACACGTGATTTCAGTGGGCTTGGTCCCGGGCCATGCCAACTAACGGTTGTGTCTGACGTACCCACCGACCGTTGGCTGTAGGTGTCAGAGGTGACCTGGGAAGAGGAAGACGACCGAGCCAACCAATCGACGACGGCAGGGTTGTCGGTGGAGACACGACCGCTGGATGACACCGGGAGCACTGGCCTCTGGCTGCGAATAGTGCTGCCTCGACCCCTTCCTCTGCTGCCACGTCTGCTCGCTCCTAAAACATTGCCTCCTCTGCCACTCCTCTGCATGTTGTCTGACATACTCTTTAATTAAACGATTATGTGTCCCTGAGTAACAATTCTGTGTCCCTGAGTAACAATTCTGTGTCTGTGCGAGTAACAATTCTGTGGCCCTAAGTAACAGTTCTGTGGCCCTCAGTAACAATTCTGTGTCCCTGATTAACGTTTCTGTGGCCCCAAGTAACAGTTCTGTGGCCCTCAGTAACAATTCTGTGTCTGTGCGAGTAACAATTCTGTGTCTGTGCGAGTAACAATTCTGTGTCTGTGCGAGTAACAATTCTGTGGCCCTAAGTAAAGTTTCTGTGGCCCTAAGTAACAATTCTCTGGCACTCAGTAACAATTCTGTCTGTCCCTGAGTAACAATTCTCTGGCACTCAGTAACAATTCTGTCTGTCCCTGAGTAAAAATTCTGTGGCCCTAAGTAAAGTTTCTGGGGCCCTGAGTAACAATTATCTGGCACTCCGTAACAATTCTGTCTGTCCCTGAGTAACAATTCTCTGGCACTCAGTAACAATTCTGTCTGTCCCTGAGTAACAATTCTCTGGCACTCAGTAACAATTCTGTCTGTCCCTGAGTAAAAATTCTCTGGCACTCGGTAACAATTCTGTCTGTCCCTGAGTAACAATTCTCTGGCACTCAGTAACAATTCTGTCTGTCCCTGAGTAAAAATTCTGTGGCCCTAATTAAAGTTTCTGTGGCCCTAAGTAACAATTCTCTGGCACTCAGTAACAATTCTGTCTGTCCCTGAGTAACAATTCTCTGGCACTCAGTAACAATTCTGTCTGTCCCTGAGTAAAAATTCTGTGGCCCTAATTAAAGTTTCTGTGGCCCTAAGTAACAATTCTCTGGCACTCAGTAACAATTCTGTCTGTCCTGAGTAACAATTCTCTGGCACTCGGTAACAATTCTGTCTGTCCCTGAGTAACAATTCTCTGGCACTCAGTAACAATTCTGTCTGTCCCTGAGTAAAAATTCTGTGGCCCTAATTAAAGTTTCTGTGGCCCTAAGTAACAATTCTCTGGCACTCAGTAACAATTCTGTCTGTCCCTGAGTAACAATTCTCTGGCACTCGGTAACAATTCTGTCTGTCCCTGAGTAACAATTCTCTGGCACTCAGTAACAATTCTGTCTGTCCCTGAGTAAAAATTCTGTGGCCTAATTAAAGTTTCTGTGGCCCTAAGTAACAATTCTCTGGCACTCAGTAACAATTCTGTCTGTCCCTGAGTAACAATTCTCTGGCACTCCGTAACAATTCTGTCTGTCCCTGAGTAACAATTCTCTGGCACTCCGTAACAATTCTGTCTGTCCCTGAGTATGAATTCTGTGGCCCTAACTAGCGTTTCTTTGTCCCTAAGTAACAGTTCTGTGGCCCTCAGTAACAGTTCTGTGTCTGTGCGAGTAACAATTCTGTGTCTGTGCGAGTAACAATTCTGTGGCCCTAAGTAAAGTTTCTGTGGCCTAAGTAACAATTCTCTGGCACTCAGTAACAATTCTGTCTGTCCCTGAGTAACAATTCTCTGGCACTCAGTAACAATTCTGTCTGTCCCTGAGTAAAAATTCTGTGGCCCTAAGTAAAGTTTCTGTGGCCCTGAGTAACAATTCTCTGGCACTCAGTAACAATTCTGTCTGTCCCTGAGTAACAATTCTCTGGCACTCAGTAACAATTCTGTCTGTCCCTGAGTAAAAATTCTGTGGCCCTAATTAAAGTTTCTGTGGCCCTAAGTAACAATTCTCTGGCACTCAGTAACAATTCTGTCTGTCCCTGAGTAGCAATTCTCTGGCACTCAGTAACAATTCTGTCTGTCCCTGAGTAACAATTCTGTGGCCCTAATAACGTTTCTGTGGCCCTAAGTAACAATTCTCTGGCACTGAGTAACAATTCTGTCTGTCCCTGATTATGAATTCTGTGGCCCTAACTAGCGTTTCTTTGTCCCTAAATAACGATTCTGTGGCCCTCATTAACAAGTCTGTGTCCCTGAGTAATGGTTCTCTGTCCCTAAGTAACTTTTCTCTGTCCCCAATTATCGTTTCTGTGGCCCTAACTCTGTCCCTGTCCCTAGTACAGAGCGGTCTGCCTCTGTTCAATAACTGCAGGCAAATGAAGAATTCCAAAATGGCCGCTATTTATAGCTCGACCATTACACAGTGCTGGCTGGCTGGCTGCTGATAGGCTGATGCGATCACATGTAGTTGAGGAATGCATTATGGGTCAGCGCGCCTTGTCTGCGCGCCTTCCCAGACATCCCCGCTCCGTCGCCGCACATGTCAGCCGCCATTTTCTGAAAAATTTCGATTCGCGCGTCCGAATTAGGCTATTTTTCGGATTCGGCACGAATCGAAATTTTTCCGATATTCGACTCGAATTCCACTTCGGATACTTCGATTCGCTCATCTCTATGTATAATCATTCATGCCAGACATAATGTTGCCTTTTTCAGTCAAACTGAGTGACAATTTTAGACATATGTGTGCCCTGCACATAGTTATAGCCGAGAGTCCTCAAGAAGAATAATGAGAGGTCAGGTTAGAAAATATCCAATCAGTCAGGGGCGGACTGACAACTCATGGGGTCCCCCCGGGCAATAGAGGATCATGGGGCCCCTGTGTCCTTGCCCAAACTCAAAAAAGCCTATGAAAAAGGTACCAGGGGCATCTCATGGGGCCCCATACTGACCCCGTGCCCTCTGGCAGTGCCCGAGTTTCCAAATGGCCAGTCCGCCCCTGCTGTCACTATTGTTTCTCCTGAGTTAAGTTTATCTTAGTGGGCCGTGAGGTTCATGATAATGTAGCAAGCCAACCCAAAAGACTTCTCATGACAACAAGATTGTACATGGGCTGTCTATAGGTAGCTCAACACCTTGTGCACCTTAAGGCCCAATCAAAACTTCAGTTTAAAGTGAAATTATATTCACCTCCACTCCAGTGATGCAATGTCAGGAGCTCCCTGCCTGTCAGCCATTGACATGTTCTCCTTGGGCTTCTTCCAGATTTTCGATCCTCAGCCACTTTGATTAGACAGGTGGAGATGGCATCACTCCTGTGCATGCACTGGAGTTCCTCCATCTTGGCAGATGCTGAAATTGTATACAGTATACACTGTGTTTTGGTGTGGAGAGGCAGGTAAGAAGATTTAATGCAGACACAGGTCTCTTCTGTATTAAAAAGTCTGCCTGTGTGCATTTTTTTTGGGGGGGGGGGTCCACTTTAAAACAGCAAAATACATTGCATATGCATCAAAACATGTTCAAAAGTCTTAACTTGTTTTTGTTTTTTTTAAATAAAGGAAGAGAGTATTTTATCCAACTCTGAAAAATGCAGTCATCACGTGTCTCCTAGTTGGAAATCAGTATTTTAAAGATCCATTGCATGTAAGAAAACATGTAATAAGAAAGACCTATAGGAAGCATGCCAGAGTCATATGATGTCCTCTGACTGGAAGGCCATTAAAGTGTTGTTATAATGTGCTCACCTTAAATATGGTTGTTCTCATCATCTTGCATTGGTATGTGACGTGTTGCATGACGCCATGGAATGCGGAAATAGCTTGTGGTCCCTGTCTTCCCAGTGTAGGCCTGGATAGCTCCCACTGTCCACCTGTGCTACCAGCCATGGCTTAAGACGGATGCGGCGTGGATGCGGATTCATCTCCAGGTGCTGAATTGTGGATGGTTAGAAAACCTTGACAGCAGCACTGCACACCAACCTCACCATCTTAAAAAAACAAAAACAAAACAAAAAACAATTCTAAATGTGTGAACATTAAAAGTATTAGTTTGAAGCTCTCATCTTACAGTTACAAGAAATATTCATTACAGTTATTTATGCAGTGCTAGTTAATGATCATTGGCGTTGTTTCTCAACTTCTTTTCACCCCTGACCCCCATACAATGTTGTTTTCCTCCTGTGGCTCCTGTGCAATTTCTGTTACCGGATGAAGACATGGAGACGTAGGAGTGAAAAAAAAAGCTATATTAGACGCATTTATTGGCGTATGGGTCGGAAAATCTGGTAAGAATCTTTGAGATTGAACCAACTGGATATACTTGGCCTGTTGATTGATTGAATAAACAGCTGCATATATTTAAACACTGGACTTTTTGAATTTACATACTGAAATTTGCCAGGGGGTGTTATTGTGCAGTCTAGCAGCTGATTGGGGACACTTGAGCGCTGGGTTTAACATCCATTACCAGAGAAATGGCTTGTAAATAGGATATTTTTTATATATAGGATTTATGTTGTTATTAAATGTAGTTTACAATACACACTCATATTCAAAATGGTATTGTAATATAATCGTTGATTAGAGCAGAACTCCGGGCAATTTGCTAAAACAGATGAAATTCATATAAGTAAGCGGTTTTTTCCCTGTCATAGGATTTGTATTTCTGTCTCTCCTGTCCTGAGATTTACACACCTCTGCCACACAGCACAACCATGTCTGCCAGGGCAGAAGACCTTATTTTCCCCTACTGCAATCAACTAATAGTTACACATCTTGTCCCTCTTCCAGCCTATGACTGGGCAGTGAAACAAAAGAAGCAGAATACTTTCCTCTTATCTGCATGATCTTTGTTAGCACATGAGCAAGACTTCACAAATGACTGGCTCCTTGTGTTGATTTTCCCTCTCCCAGTCTGAGCTCTGCTTTAAAGGGACAGCAAGAGGCTGATACCAAGACAAAACCAGGTACATGCACTGATTGCAAATTATGTTTTTTTTAACAAAATGATGTATTCATGAATACAGGGGTTAGACAAAATAAATGGAAACATTACATGATTTGCAGTTGTAAAAGTGACAACATGTTTTGCATTGAAAGCGGAATTGATGTAACATTCTTTTGCTTCTGCTGTGTGATGAGACACCTAGCTAACAGGTGGGAAGCATCACTTTTGTCATTCACTGCTAGTAATAGGGAGTGATGTCAGAGCTTAACAGCTTCCCCGCCGCAGTATAGCAAATATACTGCTACACGGCAGCACGGGTACATAAAATCACGTATTTATACGTGATTTTGCATTTCCAGGTAGGGGGTGCACGCCCTACCTGCACCACCTTTCGCAGCCACGGATGTCAATCACCAGGTCCCAGCCAGTGATTACCGACAATCACCGACGGGGAGGAAGACTGTTTTGTCAGCTCGGGTACACTGCTTGGAATGGCTGTGCACAGCACAGCCATCCCGATCAGTGTGCGTACAGTGAAGAACACGCCCCATAGTAAAACACTCCCTACACACAGTTAACCCTTTGATTGCCCCTCACATTAACCCCTTCCTGCCCAGTGTCATTAGTACAGTGTCAATGCGGTCTTTTAGCACTGATCACTGTATAGGTGTCACTGGGGATATCAGTGACACCAAGTTAATTCCCTCCCAGTGTCAGAATGCCCGCTGCAGTCCCGCTAAAAGTCGCTGATCGCCGCCATTATTAGTAGGGAAAAAAAAAATCCCAGTATCTATACCGCCATTTGTAAACGCTATAACTTTCACGTAAACTGATTCATTTACAGGTTTTGTTTTTAGCAAAGACATGTAGCAGAATACATTTTGGCCTAAATTTATGACGAAATTTGATTTTTAAAATTTTTTGACTTGACATTTTAATAGCAAAAAGTCAAAAATATTTTTTCTCAAAATTGGCAGCCTTTTTTTGCTTATAGTGCAAAACATAATAAAACCGCACAGGCAATCAAATACCACCAAAAGAAAGCTCAATTTATGGAAAAAAAAAAAAAGACGTAAATGTCATCTAGGTTCGGCATTGCATGACCCGCGCAAATGTCAGTTAAAGTAACACAGCACCAGAACGCAAAAAATGGCCTGGTCAGGAAAGGGGGTAAATCCTCTGGAGGGCAAGTGGTTAATAAGCTTCAAAGAGGCCAAACTGTTGGTGCCCGCTTAGCTGGTGCCTCTGTGACTTGCCAATTTCTTTGCCGTGTTGCGAGGTACAGTATCAATGGTTATGACGGCATATATACAGTTTCCGGGACACTGTTGTCTGATAAGCATAAGCGTGGTCGCCGTGGTCAACTGACCGGAAGAGACAAAAAAAGGACATTTCGCAGGATTGCGCCCCGTAATAAGAAAACAACTGCTGCAAAAGAGACAGCAGAGCTCAATCTAAGGCTTCACGCAGTGAATGAGGAAAGTGAGGCTTCCCACCTGTCAGCTATCACACAGCGGAAGCAAAAGAATGTTACATCACTTCCGCTTTCAATGCGAAACATATCAATACTTTCACACCTGCAAATCATGTAGTGTTTCCATATTTTTGTCTAATCCCTGTACAATGCAGCATTAAAGGGCCTCTTTGATTTCTGCCTGGAGAGCTTTAGGTCTCTTTCAGACAAGACTTCAGTTTTTACCGCTCTATGAACTATGGTAGTGCAGCAGCTGACACACATTCAGGAGGCACTATGGCTGCCTCCTAAACGCCTGTTTTATTTATTTCTTTAAGTTTTCTTTTTAATCGCTGAAGATCAGTTTTACAATGCAGGACGGCGTTAAACAACTGTGAGCCAAGCATTTGGCTCTTGGTTCCAGTGTGGCCACATGGAACGCAATGGGCAAGTTTGACAGGCGGTGCCGGCTGTCAAACTGTGCAGCCCACGTTAAAAATGCTGTTGTGAGAAATACAATAAAAACGTTTTCCCTTTTCTCAAAAGCAATGTAAACTTCTTGAAAAGTGTACTGTTTAAAGTATATGTAAACCCTCACCTTCTAAAACAATCCACTCCTTTTAAAATATACACTCATTGGCCACTTTATTAGGTATACCTGTTCAATTGCTTCGTAACACAAATTGCTAATCAGCCAATCAGCAACTCAATGATTTTCGCATGTAGACGTGGTAAAGATGACTTGCTGAAGTTCAAATGGAGCATCAGAATGGGAAAGAAAGGGGATGTAAGTGACTTTGAACATGGCATGGTTTTTTGGTGCCAGATGGTCTGGTCTGAGTATTTCTAAAACTGCTGATCTACTGAGATTTTTATATACAACCATCTCTAGGGTTTACAGAGAATGGTTCAAAAAAAGAGAAAATATTCAGTGAGCAGAAGTTGTGTGGAGGAAAATCTTGTTTATGTCAGAGGTCAGAGAAAAATGGACAGACTGGTTGCTGCGACATTCAGGTGGTAAACAACATGAAAGCATGGATCCATTCTACCTTGTATCAAGGGTTCAGGCTGCTGGTGGTGCAATGGTGTGGGGGATATTTTCTTGGCACTAGCAGGGTGTGCCGAATAAAGTGGCCGGTGAGTGCAGATTAAAAAAAAACCTTTGTGTATAGATATAAAAAAAAACAAAAAAAAAAACACAATCTCTTTTTTAACCACTTGTCCTCCAGAGGATTTACCCACTTTCCTGACCAGGCCATTTTTTGCATTACGGCGCTGTGTTACTTTAACTGACAATTGCGCGGTCATGCAATGCTGCAACCAAATGAAATTTATGTAATTTTTTCCCACAAATAGAGCTTTCTTTTGGTGGTATTTGATCACTTGTGCGGTTTTTATTTTTTGCGCTATAAACACAAAAGGTCCGACAATTTTGAGAAAAAAACTATATTTTTGACTTTTTGCTATTAAACATGTCCAATAAAAAAATTAAAAAAAAAAAAAGCAGTGTGCTGGAGCGGACGGGAGAGATCTGTATGGTTTACATACAGTTCTCTCCCCCATTGGTAATACTCGGCAATCACTGGGTGCCAGTGAGTAA